ACCACTAGCATCAAGAATGAAAAATGAATGCCTATCTGAAAAGTTGTTAAAGATAGTTGGCAGATAGTTGTACAAGTTGGATTGGTGGTGTGTGTGTGTGTGTGTGTGTGTGTGTGTGTGTGTGTAGCATCATGTAGCCAAGTAAAAAATAGGAACAAGAAAAAAAGCATATGTCACTGCTTTCCTATCCCTTACAGTAGGTTTTGCTGAAATTTAAATGTGAGTCATTTCTATTTGTGCATAGACAGACAAGGTAACTAAAGTGGAGGAATGAAAAAGAAAATCCAGTCCATTTTTATACTTCAATTCCTTTTTTTTAAAAAAAACATTTTATTGGGAGCTCATGCAATTCTTATCACAATCCATGCATACATACTTAAATTTCTTAAGGTGTTATTAATCCATAAAGTAAACATTTCAATAATATTACTCTGAATGTATCTTAATAATATAACTGACTGGGAGAACTTTACTACTGGGAGAAATGTATGAGTACATTCCAAGAGGCAGGCCTTCTATTAAGGACACATTGCTAAGTACTGGAACTAGAACATCGATGCCAGAAAACGGAAAATGCTCGTGAATCCCAAGTCTCAGGGCAGAGGGAGAAGTTGAGGAAGAGGAATCGATCAGGGACTGGACAGACACACGGAAGAAGCTGGAGAGCTGGACTAGTGAGGACCATGGCAAAGGCGAGCTTGAAGGCTCTTGGGAGCATCTTCAGGGATCATAGTTGGGCAAGTCTGGACATCAGTTCAGAGAAGCCAAGGCTACCTGGCTTGAAGGTCTGGGTCTTCTCTTCCCCCCCCTTTCCACTGCTCCTTCGTTCACTCCAGTTACTTTAAAAGGGCTAAGCCAACTCTGCTTTGCTGGCTAACCATTTTTTCTGTCCTGGTCACATGAGTTGTAACATCAGTTTCAAAAATGGTTCAATATTGTGGTGCTATGTTAAGAAATATGTAAAAGAGCTTTTAAGCCTGCTGTTAAAAAAACAAGATCAATATCATTTTTCTTTGGGGCTTGGAGACTGTTACCCAAAATAGTTAACGGTCTCTGTGTAAAGAGGGTTTGATACCATTTTAAAGGCAAGATAGGGCTCTTGCTCCACCAAGTATTAAAAGCATTTCTAATATGGGGACTTCTTCTCCCCAGAGGGCAGGAGTGAGGAATACGATAGTCTACAGCCAGAGTGACAGGTGCCTGCCTGTCTTTGTGCGTTGCCTTCTGCTGGAGTCGTCCGAACCCCAGCTGCCCGTGATCATCCCCCAGCTGTTGAAAACCACCGTAAGCGAGGCACCATGCTATATATATATACACGCTGACTTCCTTTTCCCCTTCTGTGGACGCTCGTGCAGTTCCCCAGCCCAGAGCTTGATGGTTTTCACATACGACACAGTGGCCTGGCCATGCCAAGATGTTGACAGAATCCTTTTATGATTCATAACCATGGGAACCTCCGCGTGGTTACTGCTAGTCAGTGGTTGGGAGATCAGCTCTCATCCCCATTGTGCTCTGTGTGTTATTTTCTTCCTTTAGTAACCGGTGGGTCTTGTTAAGCTAGTACTTTTCATAGGAGAAAGTCAGCTTCCCAGGTAAGTTTATCTGACTGGAGGCGATTTCTACTTTTACCCACAGCGCATAAAATAACCAAATACTCAGGTCTATGGAACAATAAGGAACTCAATCATTTCCCATTGGAAATGATTTTTTTTGGAAGTTGTCCAGCCTCCTCACTCCTTCGAAGGATTCTTTCGTTCCTAGGCACATCTGCTTGGAAAACCTGTTATGTCGGTACATTTAGAATGATACTTCTATTTCTCGTTTTATCAATTGTCATTTTCACGTGGACTGTATAGGGCTGCGAGAATCCTGTTCCATAGGTCTGTTGCAGCAGGGTCAGGCTTGGCGTGCCTAGAGAACGTGCCTTTTCCTTATAACAACCTCATCCTGTCCTGCCCTCTCCATTGTCTAGGATCAGTTTGCTTGTCTTCCCTGAGAATTACATTATTCACGGCTGAGTTTGCCTCAAAGTTGTCTGCTAAAATGCAAGACAATATCTCTCACCTTAGACAGCACAAGGACTAGAAAAGCATCGATAGAGGAAAATAGAAATTTACCCTCAAATGCTTTCATATCTCACTTTATTATTTCTCACTTAAAAAATATCAATGACCCTATGTTCACATAGATGCCTCAGGATGCTGTTGATGTTCTTTGTGGAGTTAATCCTAAGTCGCAGTGACCCAAGTGTGCTGAGGAGCAGCGCTCTATGCAGTTTTTACACCTGTAACCCCGCCCCTCACACAAACAACAACAACAAAACAGCCAGTCAGGCCTGCTTCCAAGGCCCCGTGGGATATGTTTGAACTGCCAACCTTTGGGCTGGTGGTCAGGCACTTGGCTCATGACACCACCCGTGGACTCCTAAATGGTAATATTATTGTGTGCCTTGCATTGTGACTCAGTGGCCCTGTTTGACAGAGCAGAACTGCCCCATGCTGCTCTCAGTGGAGAGGAGAACTATACAGCTCCTTTTTCTATGTGAAAATGACCCATAAACTTGCTGGCTTAAAAACAGCCACAAGTTTTGGGGCCTTTTTTTCTTCTTACAATTGCACTTCTTAAAGCTCTGCTGAGAAGTCCGGGGGGTGCCATAGGTTAGGTTGAGCTGCTAAAAGGTTTACAGTCTCGGAAATGCTGGGGAGGCAGCTCGACTCTCTCCCACAGGTAGGCATCTCTGAGTAGCACTCGACTTGATGTCAGTGGGTTTGTTTTGCGGGGTTTAGATGGACATTTACCAACTTCTTACTAGCTAAGAAAAAGAAAAGCACATGGTCACGCCCAGTCAGTGTGAGGGTGGTCTTAGGCCACATCTCTTTATGGGAAAAATGTTAAAGAATTTGCAGCCATTTTAAATCTATGGTGGAAGTCCTCCCCACCTCTTTCCTTTCTTTTTCAAGTAGGAATGTTTGAGGAATGCATTGCCTGGCCCTCACCTTGCCATGAGTAACATGGAAGGATCATATGGAGTCAAGAAACCACCCACGACCATAGACATTCAAAGCCCAAACTCGCAGATATTGTGGTTCCTATTCATACACTGTGTTCTCCTTCCAATGAATAGTTGTATTAAGAAAGAAGAGGAGACAGTGGACAGAAACAGAGCAAAAGAGAATTAATTCAGAGTGGCTCAGTGGCACCAGAGAATGAATTCTACATCGAATAACAGCACAGTAATGGTGGCCAAGGTAACAGGGCCAGCTGGGCCAGGTAGGTAGCACATGGTTAAATAAAACCATTGTAAGAAAACTTCCAGTGATAAACAACCTATAAGACTCATTTATGCAGCATTCCATGATATATTTACAGTAACTTTATGAAGTATTTGAGATGGTGCTGATTCCATTGTTGTTGATTACATAAGATCCAGGTAGTTCATTAACCTGTCCAAAATCATAGCACAATTCGAAGGAGGAGCCAAGGGGCTCTGAGAACCAGCTGTCTGAATTTCCTAGTGCTGCTGTAACAGAATTACCACCAGGGAGTAGCTTTTAAGGACAGAAGTTAATTTTCTTGAAATTTAGGGGACTACCAAAAAATCAAACCAAACTCACTGCCGCTGACTCATAGTGACCCTAAAGGCCCCTATGGGTTTCTCAGACTGGAGATAGCCTCACCTTTCTCCTGTGGAGCAGCTGCTGGTTTCGAACTGCTGATCTGTGGTTTAGGAGGCTAGGGGGTCCTTGTTCAGGATAGTGCTCTCTTCACATGGTATCTGTCCGTTCCCCTCGTGTGCTTGCTTGCCTCTGTGTCTATGCTGCTCCTCACTCAGACATGATTAGGTTTAGGACGCACTTTCCTGTTAGGTTTCTGGGGTGGTTTATCTTGGTTCTTCTCAACGCTGAAAGAATTCACCGGCAGAAGCACTTTTGTCAATCCAAGTGACTTTATGAGGGACGTTTCAGGTACCACAGTCTCAAAAGGTACACACTATCTCTGGAAAGCGTGCAGTGACGCGTGGCGGGGCGTGGGAAAGTTTGTGACTGAAAATGGTCCCTCCAGCCAGGTCTGGGAGCTCAGAAAACACACAAAAGGAGTCCTGGAACAGGAATGCGAGTCCAGCGTGCACAGCCGAGGGAGAGAAGGCCTGGCTGAGGGACAGCTGCCTGAGAGCACAAGAGAGAGCAGGAGCCTGGAGAGGGCGCAGGGCACTTAGGCACCCCTGCCCTCCAACCTGCAAGAGAGCCCCCGAACTAGAGAAAGTGACTTGCCCTGGTATTTTTCCCGTCCCCTCTCCATTGGCTAGGGAGGCACGGTTGGGGTATTGGCTGAGTTTAGGAGATATCATGTATACCTGTGTGATGTCAAGTAGCTGGTGCCTAGTCTGTGTGCCCAGGTGGACCTCCCACCTGGGCCTGGGTGACCTCGGTCTGCGTATGCTCTGTTCTGGATTTTCCCATAGGTGTCTAATTAGTGTGCCTGATTTCTTTCCAACCCCTTTTATTGTAGCAATGCCAGCTAATTTTTGTTTAGCATAGGCATACAGTGGAGACATCCCCACTATCCCTAATCTAGCAACTCTAATTATCCCTAATCTAGCAACCATTCACTATGGTATGGCCTCATTAACAAAGAAGAGAAAATCATAATCACAAGTAGGATTATAGCCACAGATACAGGGGTTGAAATTTCAACACATACCGTATATACTCATATATAAGCTTTTTTAGCACATTTTAAATTCAGTTTTGTGGTAAAATTAGGTGCCTCAGCTGATAGTTGGGTCGGCTTATACTCGAGTGTATACAGTACTTTGGGGACACACAATTGGGCCCATGTTCTCTTTCCACAGTAAAGCCTCTTGTGGTGGGGGGTGGGGGCGGGGAGTAAAACGTAGAAATAAGCTTCAGGTAAAGCTGTTTGGAATTTCACCAAACAAACCTATTCAAAATAAAACAACATCGATGGCCTTGCTTAGTTTGTTTAATCATGACTGGTAGGAGTCGTCCATGGATGGGACTGAGTCTTCTCATGCTTCTGAACTAATGAAGAGAAGATGGGAAGCAAAGCTGAAGCAAATTGAAGAGCGGGCTGCTGATTATGAGAGGAAGCCTTTGTCCAAAGTGTACAGACCGAGGCTCTCCAGACCAGAAGAGCCAGCCTCCATTTGGAAACTGTTTCATCGACAAACTCAAGCTTTCAACTTCGTTAAAAGCTGTAAAGAGGTAATTGTCTCATCACCTTCCTGTTTTTTGTGTGTGTTTTGTTTTCTTAAGAGAGACTGTAACAGGATTGCTAAACAACCTGGTTTGTCTTCGAAGCACCGAGAGCTCTTTAGGAGACCACCACAAAAGCAAACTCACTGCCTTGAGTCCATTCTGACTCGTGGCTTCCTGGGTTATACATTGAGCTGCTTATCAGTTTGAAAACACCAGCTGCTTCTGGGGAAACGATGAGGCTTCCATAAAGATTTATCATCTCAGAAACCCACAGGAGCAGTGATGAGTCTTCTGTGAACAAGATATGATAATGCGCTGCAGACATGGACAGCCTTTTAAACCCCATGGGACAGTTCTACTCGGTCAAGTGGATTCTGACGCATGGAAACCCTACGGGACAGAGTAGAACTCTCTCACTGGGTTTCTATGAGTCAGCATCCACTTGACCGAGATGCACCATCTTCAACATGTATAATGACACTTACGTGAAGCTGTGCTTTTGGGACCAACCCCAGTCCCATCGAGTCCTTTCCAACTCCAAATCCCATAGAGGCTATGTGATGCTGTCAGTCATGAGAACAGACCACCTCTGTCTCCTGCAGAGCAGCTGGTGGGTTCAGTACCCAGAAGCACCACTAGGGCTCTGAGAGATAATAGCATGCCGAAGGGAGCGGGGAAGGAAGGGTCACTGCTGATGGAGGGCTGAGTTGAAGTTTCCAGTGATGGAAAGTCATTGCTCTCAGTGAAACTAAGAGCACGCTCAGAAAGACGAGCAGGTGAACGAATGGAGCGTGAATTTGTTAGGACGAAGAGAAGGAGCTGGATTTAGGAGATAGTATACCAAAGTGCCTCCAACATTAGTAAACATGTTAAGAGTAGTATAAGCCCTAGAACTTAAATCATGGTGTCAAAGCAGACTTGTATTTTTCTTTCTACTATCTCCTCTTACGTGCTGGAGTAGTAGGGTGGATTTGTCATAATAACTGCCAACACATTAGGCAAGGAGGAGGAGCTGCTTGCAACACGCCGATGCCACACAAAAAGAAGCGAAGCAGTGGGTGTGTGCTATGCATTGCTTTGCTTTGCTGGGCACTGGGGAGACTAGGAAGTGAGGTGAAAGGTGCTCCCTAAGATCAATATGCTGTGCCTCGCAGCGCTGAAGTGAGATCAAAGTTTACAGTGCCACAGCTTTTGAGGGGCCTCCTCGTAATGAGGATCCTAGAAGGGAGACCTTTCTTAATCATGTTTGCGTTAGTGCAGACATCAGAATGTCAAAAAATTAACAGCTGATTCTTTTTAACCTAAAATTTAATAAACGATGCAAGGGTATGATCGCTGGACATCCCCATTACTAGTCTAAAACTTACCTCCAGGTAACTGTCCCCATTCCCACGAGCAACCTTTCCCTATAGAAACAGAAGGAGTTTGTGTGCACATTCCTTTATTATAGAACACTCTTTGTAGAAGAGAAACAAAACAGAATAACCCGTAGTATTTACTCAAGCACCACAGTCATTAGTCTTTCAAATTGGGTTTCCACATACATTTTCTATGTACTAGAGGATTATTTCGGGAGAAAGATGGGGCTTGCCACTTCCACAAAGCGTTACATTCTCAGAAATCTGCAGGGACCCTGTCCTATAGGGTCGCTCTCAGTCAGCAGAGACTAGATAGCAGTGAGTTGGCAGAGAGGAAGTTATTAATCTTCAAATACTTTATAATGTTTAAATAGTTTTGCAAAATAGAGTTAATTTAATAAACTATCAATCAAAACTATGATAGGAAGTCAACTAGCATGATAGAATTAAGAGTACTTTTTAATCCCCGACCCCACCTTTTTAAAAATCTAGATGTTCTGTTTTTCCCTTAAACATAGTTTACTTGGGTGATTAAAAATAAATGAATAGAATGTAACAAAGAGGAAGTGCTGAAATCCTGGTGGGGACTGAGCATG